GCATGCCATATGAGAGGGTAATATATTTTGGTCTGCCCATACTTCAGGTGCAAACGGTTCGATGGCCGTCAATCCAAGCGGAGTTGTCGGTCCGTCGTCATTTTGACCAATGAAAACTTTACTGCATAGAAATCTCAATAACTCTGCGCTGTGAGCGAAAAACGGGCAGTAACAGTGCGCCAGAAGTGACAGTGCTGCGCTTTTGGCGTTTAGTTTCAGTAACATTGCGAGATCAACTAAAAACCCTTTTGAAGAGTCCCACACCAATCTTCACTACACATGATGCCCGCGAAACGACCCACTTTCAACACGCCCAGAGACAACCGACAGGAGCAGCGGTCAACATTCACAGCCAACGGCCCACAGCCTACACGCCCACGACAAAACACCCAAAGCTTTGACCGCGAATAAGTTGGCCGAATTTCCCATGCAAAATATTCGAGGCTACCCGAAAGTTTGGAACTGTAGTTCAAATTGTAACCACACTCCTTCTAACAGGCCCAATTTGCCCCTGACTGACGCAAGTGCGAGACAGGAGCAATATGAAAGATGGGGAAGGGGAGTGAAAGGGGCATCATGTGTACAGTGTTGTACTGTTCTCATTCAACCGCTAGCTTGGTGTGGTGGTGGTGGTGGCGGTGGAGGTGGTGGTTGAGTGTGAGTTTTTGTCACTTGCTCCCCCGTGGAAGATCAACGAACCAATTCTGTACAGTGACAGCTTGTTGACAGGTAGGGGCTTTCTCCAAAACTTTCACACGATAATCGGGTCAGAAGGAGTTAAGTTGGTTTCCGTGACCCGTTTTGAGGGTCCAGTTCAACCCGATTTTGGGCATTTTGAGACGCACTGTGTTTGAGTTGCACTACAGTGTTTGACACGATGTGACACGAATTGTGTCAGCAAGAGACACGTTGTTAGCAAAATATATGGGACATAAACAAGGGGTCCACTGTTTCAAAATCTCGCTTAGCGGTTTTGCGACAGAGGGAGAGGGGTGTTGAGGAGGTGTGTGGGTTGGCGGAGGGGCTGCTTTGGTTGGGGGGTGATGTGGGGGTGATTTTGGTACTTCTGAAGGGGCGACAGGAAACTTATGGGTGATACAGAAAGATGGAGGGATAGTGAAGATTGAAAGGTCGGACCCTCATCAACACATGGATAGGGACTCCATATATCACACGTTTTTAGGTGTGCGTCTGTATTGCAGTTGCCCTTTCTCGCAATTCGAGAGTGAGCCGGTCGCCGATTTTGAATAATATTTGTTCCTGTCTGTTGAGTTTGTGAAGTAACTCCGCCTTTGAGCTTCTGCTAAGCGAGAATCACTGGTACTCTAATATATTTGAGACCAGTAATTCGAAATTTTTGTAACATAACAAGCTGGCCTGACACTTAACACAGGAAGTTTAGCAGGGTGATTCCATACTGTAGGGTCGCACGGCTGGCAGTGCTGCAAATATGCTTTTAGAATGATTCCATACTCATCATATCATGCCGTGAGAGGTACCCCTGATTTCCAGAGGGCGCGAAAATCATGCTTGGCGTTAAAGGTACCCCCGATCATGTCAACACCCCTCAATCTTGGCGCATAAATCATGCTCAGCCATGCCATGCCACCCCCCCTCATGCCCCCTGTACTGTGCACCTTCCCGCTTCTCCCCACCGACACCCCCCCTCGTGTTGTTATCTGGATCTGCACGCCATCTCTAGAAGCTGGCATCCGATTGCCCCTGGCGTACGCGCAAATTGCATACTCCCAAACGCGCCCATCTCACTTCTTCACCCCTTCCCCTCAGTTACCCTTCAGTTCTGCTTCACAAAAGTTTCAGCACTCTGTCCAGTCCGTTGGAAAATCTCGACCATCCAACCATATGTGGGTTGTGAATCCAGGGACTTCAACTTTGTTTGACTCAAATTGTGACTCCTCGCGCGCTCCATTGAAAACAGAGATCGGTTTTGAAACTTTCGACGATTGGATCAGTTCTCTCTGCCACAAATTGTGGTACACCGCCATGAAAACCGCTAGTTCAAGTTCCGAGGCAGTGGGTGTGAGCATCCAACTTACTAGTACTAGTAGTTTCCAGAGGCAAGAGCCGCAGCAGCAGCAGCAGCAGCAGCAGCACGAGCATGACGATGTGATCGTTTTCCCGCCAGGATGGGCCCAACCTAGTACTATTACTGGCATTAGTAGTAGTAGGGCTTCGGCTTCAGCATCCAGTTCAGAAATTGCACATGAAGGTGGTGCTGACGTGGAGTTAACGCCAGCGCCGATCACCATGGGCCTGAACCAGGATCGGGGCCTGGTTTGGAACCAGGTGCAACAGGCGGCCCATCAACCGCAGCAAGTGCATCATGAGGGGTTCAAATGGAAAAAGACATCTCACAAGCGCATCGTGGGTCAGCAAATGAAAAGGTAAATCCACCATCGTCCTTCTCATGTCCTGCATTTGCAACGGTGACTATGGTGACCATCATAGTCCTTTCTCAGGTCCTGCATGTGCCACGCATACTGCATTTGTCGTATCAGTACCTAGAACGTCTTGCATTGGTACTAGGTCACAAACTGGCTCACATTAGTAATGTCCTCGGTGACTGTGTCAGCAGTGCTTGTTTTCTCTTCAGGTATACTAGTACACTTGTGTTGTCAAACATTATATATGTTTCTGTTGTGTAGGCTACAGTGGGTTAGCCTTTAGGGGGTACATTTCACTAGGGTTTCCTACTTGTACTCCAACAACTTTCTAGTTCAACACTTCTTGTTTCTGACATGGTATTAAGAGCTTAGGTTCTAGACCTAAGGGCCCACCGTTCCGCTAGAGGTGCCCTCGTGCGCCCCCCCTTTTTTTTTAGCGCCCTCGTGCGCCTCTCCCCTAGTGCGCCCTCGTGCGCTCTCCTCTCACGCTGCCCGTGTGCAGCCCGCTAGCAGCCCGAGCGCGGCCCCGCCGTTTTAGCGCGCGCGTAGGAAATCCGCCGCCTAGGGCGGCCCGATTTTTTCTCGCGAGCCCCAGCAGGCCGTCGCCCGTAGGCCCCGCTCGCCCCTAGGCCGACGCGCGACCCACAGCCGCCCGCCTGCAGGTCGCAGCCAGCGCGCCGCGGCGATCGCGCGTCGGCTGCTGCAACTCGCGCTTAGCCGCCGCTAGAACGCAGCCGCGGCCCGCGCGCAGCCGCACCCTAGGCGCCGCCGCGCACCGAGCATAGGCCCGCCGTCGCGCCGCCATACCCACCCGAGACGCGCCGCCCGAGTCGCGCCGCCCTGACCGAGCCGCGCCGCCCTTCCTGCAGCAACTGCTCTTCCTGCTCCTACTGCTACCACTGTTGCTACTGCTAGTGCTGCTACTGCTACTACTACTACTGCTACTGCCACTATGGCCAGTCCCACTGTTCTCTCCTTTGACGCCGAGGGCCGCCCGATTAAGTTCGATGTATGGCTTGATGACCTTCACCTGTACCTCCAGATCACTGCCAAGGACGATGTTTCCCTCTATGACCACACGTCCGGCGCTGCTCCCGCACCTCCCACTACTGCTGACAGTACTGCTCGCTCTCAGTGGCAGACCCGTGATGCTCACGCTCGCCTAGCCGTTCGCAGCCACCTGCCGTTAGATGAGCGCGAGCACTTCGGCCAGCATAAGACCGCTAAGGAGCTGTACGACGCAGTAGTCGCACGCTACTCCTCCCCTGCCACTGCTGCTATAGGCCGTCTCTCACTGCCCTATCTCTTCCCCGGCCTGTCCGCGTTTGCCACTGTAGCTGACCTCATCACCCACCTCCGTACCAGCGACCTCCGCTACCGTGCCGCGCTCCCCCTCGATTTCCTCGCCAAGAACCCCCCCCCCCCGATGTACCTCACACTGTACCACCTTGTCACCCGCCTCCCTGACTCCCTTCGCACTGTCAGGGACCAGTTTCTCGCTCTCTCCCACACTGACCTCACTGTCGACCTCCTCGAGAAGGAACTCCTAGCAGCTGAGAAGAGCATTGTAGCTGTAGGTGCCTCTCGTGGTGACCCCCGCACCCCCTTCTTTGAGGGGTGCTCCCCCTCCCCCCTCCTCCCCTCCATTGCATCTGCTGCTGCTGTCGACTACCTCGGAGCTGAGGGGGTCGGGGTCGCGTCTTCTCCTAGTGGGAGGCGCAAGGGCGGCAGGGGCAAGGGGGGCAGGGGTGGTGGAGGTGGAGGCGGGGGCGGCGGCGGTGGAGGGGGTGGGGGGGGCGGGGGTGGTGGCGGAGGTGGGAGTGGCGCGGGTGGTTGGGGGGTCAGTGGCGGCACAGGGAGTGGTGGCGGCGGCGGCGGTGGTGGGGGTGGTGGGGGCGGTGGTGGCAGTGGTGGCGGCGGTGGAGCGGGTGGCGGGCGCGGTGGGGCGGTGCAGCGTGGGAGGTTCGGCGGTGGCCAGAGGCAGCAGCAGCAGCGTCCCGGCGAGACTCCCTCGCCCCAGCAGCTCCGTGAGTGGTACTCTCAGCGTGGGGGGTCTGGGGGTGGAGGTACCTGCCCGTATGTCATCCGCACAGGTGACCGCACTGGCCAGACTTGTGGGAAGTTTCACACGGCGCAGCGTTGTTTCTTTCGCCTCGACGATGCCTGGCGCGAGCAGTTCCCTGACGCCTCTGAGCTGCCCCGCTGGGCTGATCTGCTTAGGAAGGGGATTGATATCTGCGATAGATAGAAGGGCACACATGGATGGACGGGCACATGACACGTTGATAGATGGAGAGAAAAAGCGGGCAGAGAGAGAAGGGAGAGCAGTAGGGAGGAGAGAGATGAGCGCATGGACAGCAGAGGGAGGTAGAGTGACGTTGACCACTGTGTTGGCCCAAACCGTTTCGCACCAGCCCTCATCGTTATCTTGGAAAGAAGGGCAGGCAGGGCAGTGGGAAAGTATGAGAGAAAGATTGGTGCATTGATGGATGGAAAAATGGATGGATGGACGGACGGACGGACGGACGGACGGACGGACGGACGGACGGACGGACGGACAAACGGATGTACTGAATTCAACCCAGCAGCGCTCACCAGGTCGGGGTTCTGAACAAGGAACTGCTCCTCCTCCAGCCCGTAGATCTGATACACCAGCTCGCAGTCCACGTCCATTGGGTACGAGACGGTGGACGGGCGCTCGGCGGCTGAAGAACATGGGAGTGGGAAGGAGTGGGAAGGAGTTGGAGGGAGTAGGAGAGAATGGGAGAGGGTAAGGGGATCTGATACACGAGCTCGCAGTCCACATCCATGGGGTACGAGCTGTTGGTAGGGCGCTCGGCGGCTGGGGTGACAGAAAAGAGGAGGAGAGAAAAGAGGAGGGAAGGAGGACCAAATGGTAGGGAGATCTGATACACGAACTCGCAGTCCACGTCCATGGGGTACGAGATGTTGCTGGAGCGCTCGGCCGCTAAAGAACATGAAAGTGGGCGGGAGTGGGAGAGGGCAAGGGGATTTGATACACAGCTCTAGCGTTAGATCCACCGATAGGAGCTTGCTGCGATTCGAATTCGAATCCATCCATCCGTCCGTCCATCTGATAGTCACTTTCAGACTACCAATCCATTTCTTCGCTCGCAGTCCTCGTCCATTGGGCAGGAGATGGTGGAAGGGGGAAGGGAGAGAGGAAGGGAGGACAGAAAGAAGGACGAGAGGGGTGAGAGAGGGAAGAGAGGGAGAGAGGGGACGGGAGTAAGACATTGGCACGTGCAGGAAGAACTCAATCGATGTGCCGTCTGAAAAAACATACAACTAGGAACAGAAGATAAAAAAAGAAGTGACTTTTGAGCCGACTCAAAAAACAAACAACTAGGAACAGAAGATAAAAAAAGATGTGACTTTTGAGTCGACTCAAAAAACAAACACAGAAGATAAAAAAAGAAGTGACTTTTGAGTCGACTAAAAAAACAAACAACTAGGAACAGAAGATAAAAAAAGAAGTGACTTTTGAGTCGACTCAAAAAACAAACAACTAGGAACAGAAGATAAAAAAAGAAGTGACTTTTGAGTCGACTCAAAAAACAAACAACTAGGAACAGAAGATAAAAAAAGAAGTGACTTTTGAGTCGACTCAAAAAACAAACTAGGAACAGAAGATAAAAAAAGAAGTGACTTTTGAGTCGACTAAAAAAACAAACAACTAGGAACAGAAGATAAAAAACGAAGCACCTGCACCACTCACTGGGCACGCAGAGTTCAGTGCCGCCCGCATGAAGGCCTCTCTTGAAGCCGGGCGGGCAGAGGCAGAGCCCCAGCGGTAAACCCCCCCATGGATCTCTCACATATAAAACCTTTACGCCCCACACCCAACAGGCACTCACTGGGCACGCAAAGCTCAGTGCCGCCCGCACGAAGGCCTCTCTTGAAGCCGGGCGGGCAGAGACAGAGGTAGCCGCCCTCGTTGTCGCTCAGACACGAGCCCACTCCACAGGGATTTCCGCCCTCAAACCACGAGCACACGTCATCTGATTTGAGAGGGAGAGGGAGGGGGGGGGGCAGAGAGTAAGAGTGGATGGCAGCATGGGGAGATGAGAGTGAGTGTGTGGGGAACAAGTGCCGCTCAGACACGAACCCACTCTGCAGGGGTTGCCGCCTTCAAACCACGAGCACACATCGTCTGAAGAGCGGGAGGAACAAAACCGGGGAAGGGAAAGGGGCCGAGGGGTGGGAGGGGAGAAAAGGCTCAGAAGCGCACGTCAGCACTGGAGCACACGTCAGCACAGGAGCACACGTCAGCACAGGAGCACACGTCAGCACAGGAGCACACGTGAACGCTCAAAGGCACAGAGCAGCACAGCAGACAGTGGAAGCAAAGAGCAGCCAAACCAAAGGCAGTAGCTTAGAGAGAGAGCACAGGTGGGGGTGCAGGTGTGGGTGCCGTCGTTGTTGGTGACCAGGACTAAGACATCCGCACAGGAGCACATGTAGCCGAGGGACGTAGCAGCAGAGAGCAGCACACCATGGGAGGCAAGAGCAGCACACAGAAGAGGCAAAGAGCAGCCAGACCAACAGCACAGCAAACTCACCTAGCGCACAGGTGGGGGTGCCGTCGCTGTTGGTGACAGGGACAAACAAAGCCGTCCGCACAGGTGGGAGTGCCATCGTTGTTGGTAACAGGCACGAGGCCGTCCGCACAGGAGCACACATAGGGCGGGCCAGAGGGGTGGGGTGTAGCAGCAGAACGGCACGCCGTGGGGAGAAAAGAGCATCACACAGCAGAGGCAAAGAGCCGCCACATCAACAGCACCAACACACCCACCTAGAGCGCAGGTGGGAGTGCTGTCGCTGTTGGTGGCGGGCACGAAGCCGTCCGCACAGGAGAACAGATAGGGCAGTGCAGAGGGGTGGGGTGTAGCAGCAGAGAGGGGCAAAGAGAAGCCAGCCAGGCCAACGGTAGCAGCGCACAGAAGCAGCACAGCCACATACCTAGAGCGCAGGTGGGGGTGCCGTCGCTGTTGGTGGCAGGTACGAAGCCATCCGCACAGGAGCACACGTAGGGTGGGCCAGAGGGGTCGGCCGTGTTGGCCTCGCAGTCTCCCCACCCGCACGGGTTGATCTGATCGTTGCAGGGCGAGGGGGCTGGTAGAGGGAGAGGGAGGAAAAGGGGAACGGAGAGGAGAAACACGGAGAGGAGACAGCGGGATCAGGGATTGTAGGGCGGAGCAGAGGGGTCGGCAGTGTTGGCGGCGCAGTCAACTCAACCCACCCACAGGGGTTGACCTGGTCGTTGCAGAGGGGGGATGCTGGGGTGCGGAGAAAGGAGGGTGGGAGAGGAGAAGGTGGTATGAGGCAATGCAGAGCGGTCTAGAGCGGTTGTGTCGGTAGTGTTGGCCTCGCTGTCCCCCCACCCACAGGGGTTGACCTGGTCGTTGCAGGGGGGGGGGTGCTGGGGTGCGGAGAAGGGAGAGTGGGAGGGAGGTAGGGAGTGAGGGAGGGGAGACAGGAAGGAGAATCGAATGAATGCCACATATCCCAATGCCTCCCTCCAAGTGTGTGCATGTGCAAGTGTGTGTGTATGAACAGCTGTGTGTGCGGGGTCCACTCACTCTTGATAACGGGGTAGATGGCCGGCACCGAATGAATGCCACATATCCCTATGCCGCCCACCATGGCCATGCGCATGTAGCCCTGCAGGAGGGGGAGGGGGGAGAGGGGAGAGGGGAAGTGGGGGTGGGGAGGGGAGAGGGGAGAGGGGGTGGGGAGGGGATGGGCGGAAGGATGACCAAGCATCTCCCACCATGGCCATGCGCATGTAGCCCTCCGGGAGGGGGAGGGGGGAGAGGGGAGAGAGGAGAGGGGAGAGGGGAGAAGAGAGAGGGGAGAGGGAGAGGGAGAGGGGAGAGAGGAGAGGGGAGAGGGGAGAGAGGAGAGGGGAGAGGGGAGAGAGGAGAGGGGAGAGGGGAGAAGAGAGAGGGGAGAGGGAGAGGGAGAGGGAGAGGGGAGAGAGGAGAGGGGAGAGGGAGAGGGAGAGGGAGAGGGGAGAGGGGGTGGGGAGGGGATGGGAGGACGGATCACCAAGCATCTCCCACCATGGCCATGCGCATGTAGCCCTGCGGGAGGGGGAGGGGGGAGAGAAGGGGGATGATCCAATATGGCAGAGTGTCGTATCGCCGCCACCAAACCACATGTGCACATAGCCCCCTCTCTCTAGTCATGCCCATGCCATCTCATTGCCTTCCATCACACCCTCCAACGCACCTTCTCGCCCCACTTGTCGCCCCACGAGTTGCGGATGATCCAGTAGGGCAGAGTGTCGTAGTTATCGAGCTCATACCCCACCACCACCACCCATTCTTCCCCCCACACAACAACCACCACCACAGCCACCACTGGTTTGCCCTGTCCCCCCATTCACACCTCCCATCGCCCCATTCTTCCAGTTCTGCCCTGCCCTGTCCCCCCATTCACACTTCCCATCGTCCCACTCACCCACCTTCTCGCCCCACTTGTCGCCCCACGAGTTGCGGATGATCCAATAGGGCAGAGTGTCATAGTTATCTAGCTCATACCCCACCACCACCCCCAGGCCCCCCTGTCCTTCATTCAGCCCTTCCATCTCCCCATCTTCTCACCTTCTCGCCCCATTTGTCGCCCCACGAGTTGCGGATGATCCAGTAGGGCAGAGTGTCGTAGTTATCGAGTTCATACCCCACCACCACCACGCTGTGATCCACCACCCCCCCCGCACACGCCCGGTCGCTGTACGTGCCCTGATTGGGAGGGGGAAGGAGAGAGGGGGTGGGCAAGAGAGGGGGAGGCAGAGAGGGAGAGTGGGGGAGCAACAGATATCAGGCCACAGTCGTCCAGCTCATAGCCCACCACCACCACCACGCTGTGATCCACCACTCCGCCCGCACACGCTCGGTCGCTGTACGTGCCCTGAGGGGAGGGTGGAGAAAGGGAGAGTGGGCAGAAAAATGCATATCAGATCACAAGGGTCCAGCTCATACCCCACCACCACCACCACGCTGTGATCCACCACCCACGCCGCACACGCACGCACGGTCGCTGCACGTGCCCTGAGGAGAGGCGACAAGAGAGAGGGAGGGTGCGGACGATTTTTTAGGCGCCTCAAAAATCGTCTCAGTTCACGCGGGAGGGTGTGGATGATGATCGATATCAGACCACAGCTGTCTCTCTCATACCCCATCCCACCACCACCACGCTGTGATCCACTCCACCACGCTGTGATCCACTCCACCACACCTGCTGCACACGCACGGTCATCGTATGTGCCCTAATTGGGGGAAGGCGGGCGAGCGAGAGGAGGGGGCAGGACAGAGGGAGAGTGAGGGTGGAGATAATAAATACCACAGAATAAATAGATCCTGTCCGGTCCCTGTTTGGTCAACCGTAGCGGTGACTGAGTAGAGTAGTAGAGATCGATTCATACTCTTAGCAGGCTTACTGCGGTTCGAAACCAGCATTTCTCAGCGGTGACTTGCATGCATCGCCGCGTTGACTCGCGCTGACCCACACGCTATGCGGTCCAACCATGTCACTAAGTTTCCTGGCATTTGAGTCAACCTACGTTGACTTGCATTGACTGGCGCTGACTCACCTTGCGGTAAGACAGGAAGGTGGGATGGCTGCCTCTCACAAAAGCGATGGTGGGCTGGGTCTGCAGGGAACCAAGCAGAGGGGAGAAGATGAGTGAGGATGGGCGGAGACGGGGGGTATAAGTAGAAGGAGGGGATAATACGGAGAGAGGAGAGGGATGGAGGAGAAAGAGAGATGATTCAAATATCCCATTAGCGAGCCTTAGCGAGTGCGTTGCTCATCCCCACTGCTCTCCCCCCTCACCTGCATGCCCAGCATGGGCCCCACCCAAGCCATCCGTGAAAGTCCACGTGTTCGCACCCACTCGCTCTCTCAACCCCCCCTTCCCAACCCCCCCTTCCCAACCCCCCTCACCCCTTTTCAGGCGCCTCAAAAGTCCACCCAGTCGCACCCAATAACTCTCTTACCCCCTCCCTTTTCAACCCCCCTCACCCCTCCCACCCACCCCCCTCACCCCTCCCACCCACCCCCCTCACCCCTCCCACCCACCCCCCTCACCCCTCCCACCCACCCCCCTCACCCCTCACCACATCTCCCCTTCCTCACCTGCACGGCGAGAGTGAGTCCGAGCCAGCCAAAGAAGTGGTCGTACCCTATCATCAGCCTTTCACCCATCGCTTCCCAGCCTTTCTCACCCCTCACTACCCCTCACAACCCCTCACACCTCTCCCCATCGCCCTCACCTGCACGGCGAGCGTGAGTCCGAGCCAGCCAAAGAAGTCCACCTGGTCGTACCCTATCACCCCAATGGCCTTGGGCGCGGTCTTACGCAGCAGCTCCTTGGACTGAGGGGTGTGCGAGGAGGGAGGGAAAGGGGAGAGGAGGGAGGGGAAAGAAGGGAGGAGGGAGGGAAAGGAGAGAGGAGGGAGGGGAAAGTGTGTGAGGTCAGCACATGGCTCGTACCCGATCACCCCAACCAATGGCCTTGGCCACGCTCTTGTGCAGCAGCTCCTTGGACTGCGGGGTGAGGGGGAAGGGAGAGGTGCGAGGGCGGGGAGGGAGGGAAGGAAGGGTGTGTGGGGAGGGAGGGAGGGCAGGGGTGTGTGGGGAGGTCAACACGTGGCCGTTTGTATTCAATCACCCCAATGGCCTTGGTTGGCCGCGCTCCCTCACAGTAGCTCCTTGCCACTGCAGCGCACAGCAGAGGCAGGTGGGGGGGAGGCAGGTGGGGGGGAGGCAGGGGAGAACTGAAGTGTGAGTGAGGCCACTTGCGCAGAAGATGCTTCACCTGCTGCACGGTCAGGTTGCGAGCACAAACCCAGCCACTCCCTGCTCACCCTGCTGGCGTTGCACGTGCCCTGCTTCTGCGTGTAAGGGTAGGTACGCAGCTTCCGTAGCCAAGCCCCCCGTTCGCCTGAGTGGCGTCCACCATGTAGTCCAGTGCTGACGTGGGCCACCCACCTCACATTCACTCAATCATGATGCACACTGCACGGCCACAGCCACTGCTTACCCTGGTCGCATTGCAAGCGCCCTGCTTCTGCGTGTAAGGATAAGCAGCCTCTGTAACCAGGCCCCCGTTCGCCTGAGTGGCGTCCACCATGTAGTCCAGTGCTGACGTGGGCCACCCGCCTGGAAGTCATTCAATCATATCATGGTGCACACTGCACCGCCACAGCCACAGGCAGTGCTTACCCTAGTCGCATTGCACGTGCCCTGCTTCTGCGTATAAGGGTAAGCAGCCTCCGTAGCCAGGCCTCCGTTAGCCTGAGTGGCGTCCACCATGTAGTCCAGTGCTGACGTGGGCCACCCGCCGCCGCTGCAGCTGCTGTTGCTGGGCTCGCAGTCGAGCACCTGCTGTAGCGACACTGCCGCGGCTGTTTCTGTTTCTTACGGTCTTACCTACAACCACAGCCACAGCCAAAGCCACTCATCACTCACCCTAGTGGCGTTGCAAACACCCTGCTTCTGCGTATAAGGGTAAGCAGCCTCCGTCGCGAGGCCCCCATTGGCCTGGGTGGCGTCCACCATGTAGTCCAACGCTGACGTGGGCCACCCGCCGCCGCTGCAGCTGCTGTTGCTGGGCTCGCATTCCAGCACCTGCTGTAGCGACACGCGCGCTGCGGGCGGAAGATTGGGATACGCGGGGGCTACTATCGCGTACGCCATTTCCACTGCTGTCACGGCCGTTATTGCCCATGAGGACTCTGAGGGTGGGAGGGAGAAGGGAGTGGGAGGAGAGGGGGCGGGGGACGGTGGGAGGACGAAACAGGAGAGGGAAACACGGGAGCTACTATCGCGTACGCCATCTCCACTGCTGTCACGGCCGTTATTGCCCATGAGGACTCTGAGGAGAGGGGGACGGGAGCGGGGATGGAAGGAAGGGGAGAGGGGAGGAACAGAGGGAGGGGTGAACAGAGGCAGGAGAGAGAGGGTGGAACGATGGGATGAGGGAAAGCGCGGGAGCTACTATCGCGTACGCCATTTCCACTGCTGTCACGGCCGTTATTGCCCATGAGGACTCTGAGCGAGTGACGGCGAAGGGAGTGGGGGGAGTGGGGGGGTAACGTAATGGTGAGAGTAGAAGTGGGGGGACGAAAGCAGAGGGAAGCGCGGGAGCTCTTATCGAGTATGCCATCTCCACTGCCGTCGTCGCCGTTACCATCTGGTTGTAGCAGACTCGTTAAGAGCAGCAGGCACAGCGGAGTACTCACTGTAGGCCCCTTCCGTGCGCAGCCCCAGCACGGGTTTCAGGCGGTCGTCCCACCGCCAGTAAACGGAGAGGTCAGGCTCCCACCACTCCTCCGACTCGTAATAAGCTGTCCCGTTTGTAGCATACTCGTTAGAAGCAACAGTACTTACTGCAAGCCCCCTCTGTGCGCAGCCCCAGCACGGGTTTCAGACGGTCGTCCCATCGCCAGTCGATGGAAAGCTCAGGCTCCCACCACTCCTCCGACTCGTTATAAGCCACGGTGAGGCTGCGGAAGAAGCGGTTGAGGTGCGCCAGCTTCAGCTCCGCCAGCGCGGGATTGGAGCTCACGCGGAACGTCTGCGCGCGCGCTGCGGTTGCGCAGGCGGGAGGGTGGGGGGGAGGGGAGATGAGGGAGTGGAAGGGGGAGACGGAGGTTGGGGGCGAGAGGAGGAGAGGAATGGGGGAGGGAACCGGGGGAGGAAGAAACGGGATGAGCGGAGGTCGTTATGCCGGCTGCCGGTTAGAGGTGGCGGAGGGAAGCGGTTGAGGTGCGCCAGCTTCAGCTCCGCCAGCGTGGGATTGGAGCTCACGCGGAACGTCTGCGCGCGCGCTGCGCGTTTTGCAGGCGGGGGGGGAGGAGATGGGGGAGTGGAAGGAGAGGGGGATGCGGAAGGAGGAGAGGAACGGAGGAGGGAAAAAGTGGCGGCCCGAGAGGTGAAGGAGAGCGGGGGACGGGGAGAAGGTGCGGGGAGGTCCGGTAGGGACTAGAGCTCATCCCCTCCCCGGGTTCTGCGCGGCGACGAATCTAGCCAGCGGCGACGGCGATGGAAGGACGAACTTGGGAGGGCGACGTGGGAGGTGTGCTTTGAGTCGACTAAAAAAACAAGACGATGAGAGCGACCGGCTTTTGAGGTGCCTTTAGAATATAGCTAGTCGCGACGCTGATGGAAGGACGGACCTGGGAGGGCGACGAGGCATGTGGCTGCGATGAGAGCTACCGACAGGCGGAACACGTTGAGGCGCGCGGGGAACGGAGCGGAGATCCGCATTGCGCTGATTGTTCCGCGGAATCTCCTGCGCGGAAGATGCTAATTCGAGGAAGGCTATCAAGTCGTGGAAGCTCCTGTGCGGAAGCTGCTACCTCGCGCGATCTACAATTGAATGCGCTTCTAGCTGATGAGCCGGGAAGCGAGCGACGTAGTGGATGGATACGAGATGGTTCGCTTCTGACGGTCAGGGGCGAAAGGCGAGAAGCGAAAAGCTCAGGAGCGAAAATCTAGGAGTAAATGAGGTACTGGTACCAGGAATATTCAGAAAGCTTAGGTTATTCACGAATAAGGGTTGCTCGACGAAGCTTGAGGCAAGAAGCTGCTTCTTTCCTGCCACTGACTGCGTCCAGGATACTCGAGTCGGTTCATTCAGGCGCTCTGAAACAGATTCAGCTACTGTGGCCAGAATGGGTTCGAAATACACGTCGATCAATACCCAGCCGCGTTATTACTGAACGAGATCCAGCAGAGTTAGTCCGAAAGCTGGTGCACTAATAGCTCTTTCAGACTTCTCAGGAACTGCTTCAATGGCGGGCCTGGTCGGGTGCGCGGCGGCAAAAGACGAGTTGTCGAATCAAGGAAGAGAGAGACTCTCTAATCAAAGACAGTTGAGTAATAAGCAATTCAGGCAGATGCTGCGCTTCCTGTGCTCGACTTCAAGCGCTGCGTGGAAGTTTGCAGGGAGCAGAGAATGGCACAATTATTGGACAGTGCATTCGAGCAAGGAGCATCGAGCGACGAGCGACGAATGGCGCAATTATTGGATGCTGCGGGCTTGGAGCCGCGTGAATGCGATGGGGGAAGATGGCTTGTGAAAACGAAGCCGACGAATTGCGTGGGAGGGGGGGAGGTGCACTTGGTGCTTGGATAGACTACAGTATGCTTGCTTGCTGCTGCTAGAGTGACTCAGGATGCAGCTCAGGTGAATGGCTGGGTAGCAAACATGGGTGTGGGCGTGGAGAGGAGAGGGGGAGGGGAGGGGTTTGGCTTGGATGGGATGGGATGGGGGAGCAAGGGAGCGACAGACGTTCCAGTTCAGTACAGCACACGTACCTTGTGAGGGAGGTGAGTGGGACACTGATGTGCGAAGAAATGCGCCACAAGTGGCGAAAGCTGTACGGAGACTGAGCGAAGGAATGCGATAGAGTAACGGTTGGTGTACGTCGCATGACCAGGCCACAAGGCATGCCCCATGGCGTGCCCACCTCAGCAGTAACGCAACCCGAAGGCACACAGCAGCATACACATGGCATCGTCGTGGTGGTGTGGTGGTGTGCCTACTGTACCGAGCCGAGCCGAACCGAGACGAACCCAGCCTGGCTGAGTTGGGAGGTTTTGTCTTTGCGGTGGAGTGCCCACAAAAAACACGTCGAGTCGCGAATATATTTTTTGGGAATGAGGGAGGTAGGGAGGCAGCACTGCCACGTTGGGTATGGAATACATGCCCCACGAGTCTTCGGCGATGCTCATCTGCTCTGATTTTGCACAAGCACGGCACAGCAGGCGTTGAAATTGAAACATGGAGACGTCGCCTCGCCTCGCCACAGCTGTTCTTCCCTACCCCCGATCGAGGTCAGTCGGGAGTGTTTGATGCGGTCAGGAGTGTTTGGTGTATATAATTAGCGGTTTAGATGAGTTTGGTTGGTCTTAGGTTGCTGCGGCGCGCAGATTTTTTTTCCAGCAAGTGATGTTGACCTCATGTCAAATTCAAGCTCACCTGATCAGCGCAATTCTAGCCTCGTCCTCCGGCGACGGTTTTTTCTACCTGAGCGCTGGGGCGAGGCTCCCACTAAAAGGGTGATTGCTTTTTATGCTTAGATTAGTGTGTGTACATTTATGGATTCCTCGAAAGTAAATAGCAACTCCAAAAATATTTCGAGACCCACTGTGGCAAACATGTTTCCTCGATCCCGTTCGAAGTTTACATTTTGTTGGCATTGTTTGAGTTTGATCTGTTCCCTCCCATACTCCTCACTCCTCCACAAGTGTACGTAGAGTTTTAGTATTTACGTAGTGCCTTTTAGCAAGGCTAGCGCGGATTTTGCAACCAGAATGTAACTCGGAGCAAGAAACCCTCATACATACGGGATTTCTAGCTGATTGTTTGCCCTGGGGTTGGGATGTGACTCTTGGGCTGTCACTTTGCTAATAGTATGCAATGGTAAATCTCATGCAAATTCGTCAGCTATGAGTATTGATCCAACAAGCCCGTCAGCTGAAGGGTACCATGAGCCGGATTATCTCTCACAAGAAGCTTCTGTGCTTCTGTGCGGTAACAGATTGTGCTACTTTTACATGTTTTACGAAATTCCTTATGTACCACTGTATTCATTTGCAAATTGAATCACGCAATGTCGGAGTTTAGTGGTTTATTTGGCTTGGACTGACACTGCAATCCCACCACATGAGTTGTGCTACTGTTACGGGTGCGATGAATCTAGGTAGCGAGGTTTGCACTAGAGTGTTCTACGAGTACAAAGTATGACCGAAGGCATGAGCGAAAACTTATTCGCGAAACATGCAAACGGTAACGCGGTTCGTGCGAGCTAGCTAGTGCTAAGCTGGCGCGAGGTTCGGGCTAGTCCCGAAGCGTAGGCCGATCGGCTGCTCCAGCAGTGCGAGGTTTGGTGAAATAGTGCGCGCGAAGTTGGCGAAGCCCAGTTAGCAGTAACGAGCGAACAACGGCTCCTGCTGTACGCGATGTTGGCGGTCGCGGTAAGGAATGTCGAGAGAATTCCTTACAGCTACCAAGGTCATTCACTGCCACTTCTGATGTTTCCTTGGTGCACCATTCACAACCATTCATTAGTGCACGATGCGTCTATCGAATACCACGATCACCGTTATCGTAGCCGGCGTCGGCGCCGCTATTGCCTCTCTCAACAGTCACTTTCGACAGTATCGATCTTTCTATGACGACGGCACGCGCTTCGCCTGGACTCGCGTTTTAACGAATTTCCAGGCGGTTGCGGAGGCCACGCTCCTAGCAGCGTCTGTGACGGTTCTGTTAGCGCTGACGGTTGACTGGCTACTCTTGCCGGTCCGGAATTTCAGGGTTCTCGTCTCGCAATGGATTCGACCACCGTCAGAATCAGGCGAGACGGGATACGCGTTACTAGCGGGGTCGGTATACGTCCAAAGCTTGCGCGGTTATCAATTTCTTCCGAGCCTCCATACTGTTTTGAACAGCTAACGTGTTTCCCGCGAACCCTGTCGCGAATATCGAGTTCGCGAGCTTTTACATCAGTGTAAATGAGCGAACAGATTTTCGCGAGATTGCTTCACGGTGACCGTCATCGTTAACTGTCATCTCCCCCCTCCCCCCTCCCCCTCCCCCTTTTTCCCCACCCCCCACCCTTCCCCCTCCCCTTCCCCCCACTTCTCCTTTCCCCCTCCGTACAGCAGGGGCGGAGCAGAGAGAGGAGGCGGTGGTGGGCGTGAGGGAGCGGCAGCAGCGGCGACTGGACGAGGAGGCGAAGGCTGCAGCTGTGGAGAGGGTGAGTGGCGCGAGGGGAGGGGAGGGAGGTGGGAGGGGGGAGTTAGGGCAAAAGAAGGGAGCGCACGGGAAGGAGAACGAAGTGAGGCAGCAGCGGCGACTGGACGAGGAGGCGAAGGCTGCTGCCGAGGGAGAGAGTGAGTGGCGCGACAGGGGGAGAAGGTAGGGGGGTGGGGGGAAAGAAGGAAAAAAATTGTTGTTTTTACTTGCCTCAATTTGCATCCTTGTTCTGAAACGCCTCAAGTTTCGCTCGCAATGCCACAGGCGCGCGTGCAGGCACAGCAGCAGGAGGCAGCGGGTGGCATGATTAGAGGCCAGCCGAGGCCCAAGGCCACCCAATACGATCCGTAGGGCCTGGTGCAACCGTGCAGGCACAGCAGCAAGAGAGTGATCCACAGCAGCAAGAGAGTGATCCACAGCAGCAAGAGAGTGATCCACAGCAGCAAGAGAGTGATCCACAGCAGCAAGAGAGTGATCCACAGCAGCAAGAGAGTGATCCACAGCAGCAAGAGAGTGATCCACAGCAGCAAGAGAGTGATCCACAGCAGCAAGAGAGTGATCCACAGCAGCAAGAGAGTGCATTTGCTCAATCCGAACCCTCATTCCCCCAATCAACGCCACAGGCGCGTGTGCAGGCACAGCAGCGGGAGGAGGCGCGGCAAGCAGCGGTGGCAGCATTAGAGGCCAGCCGAGGCCGCTCACTGCGATCCGCAGGGCCTGGAGTAAAAGACCAGCGATCCAATGAGTTAAGCAAGGAGGGCAGAAGGAAAGGAGGAGGAGAAGGAGGAGGAGGAAGAGCAGAAGCTGACGAAGCCCCGCTGGGTGATCCAGCAGAGGGTAGAGGGGGAGGTAGCAGCAGTGGCTATGAGGTTGCTGGGCTTGTGAGACGGCGCAGGGGAGGAGGAGGGGGGTAGGAGGAGGGAGGGGGAGAGGACGAGGATGGGGAAGAGGGGGAAGAAAGGGTTGGAGGGGAAAGAGGGGAAGGTGGGGAGATGAGGGGTGGCGTGATGGGAGGGCGAGTGGGTGTGGAGGGTGGAGGGTGGAGGTCAGCTGCATCGCTGGAAACAGAGAAGGAGAGGAAGAGGCAGGTATGGCGCGTGGAGTGCAGACAGGTAGGTATGATGCGGCGCAGGCAGGTATGGTGTGGTGATCTATGATGGAAGGGTGGAGGGTGGAGGGTGGAGGTCAGCTGCATCGCTGGAAGCAGAGCAAGAGAGGAAGAGGCAGGTATGGAAAGGGGAATGCGTACGGTGCGGTGCGTGTAGGTATGGTGTGTTGATTTACAAGTCAAGGGGCGAGTGGAGCGTGGAGGGTGGAGGTCAGCTGCATCGCTGGAAGCAGAGCAAGAGAGGAAGAGGCAGGTATGGAAAGGGGAATGCGTACGGTGCGGTGCGTGTAGGTATGGTGTGTTGATTTACAAGTCAAGGGGCGAGTGGAGCGTGGAGGGTGGAGGTCAGCTGCTTTGCTGGAAGCAGAGAAAGAGAGAAAGAGGCAGGTACGGCGAGGGGAGTACAGGCAGGTATGCGGAGGGATGTTGGTAGGTGTACAGAGGGATGTTGGTAGGTGTACAGAGGGATGTTGGTAGGTGTACAGAGGGATGTTGGTAGGTGTACAGAGGGATGTTGGTAGGTGTACAGAGGGATGTTGGTAGGTGTACAGAGGGATGTTGGTAGGTGTACAGAGGGATGTTGGTAGGTGTACAGAGGGATGTTGGTAGGTGTACAGAGGGATGTTGGTAGGTGTACAGAGGGATGTTGGTAGGTGTACAGAGGGATGTTGGTAGGTGTACAGAGGGATGTTGGTAGGTGTACAGAGGGATGTTGGTAGGTAGGTGTGCAGAGGGATGTTGTTAGGTGTAGGGAGGGGTGTTGGTAGGTGTGCGGAGGGGTGTTGGTAGGTATGCGGAGGGGTGTTGGTAGGTGCTCACATTGGACTTGGCAGGCACACTGGATTGGTTTCAGGGAAATTTCAAAGTATTCATGCAGACACCTGCATTGTACGACTCAGAAACCTCCTTCTTCTCCTCATCCTCTCCTCTCCCCGTTACTTTAGCATCGACTCAAAAGTCATTTCATAAGTATCCATGTAGACACTTGCATTGTGCGACTCAAAGGACTACCTTCTTTTCCTCATCCTCTCCCCACTTCCCTCAGGACGCAGCCTTTGCAGCCTCGTTGCGACGGGATAGGGCGATAGAGGAGAGGCGGAGAGAGGAGGAGGAAAAGAGGAGGATAGAAGCGGAGGAGAAAGAACAGATAAAAGAAGCAGAGAGAAGAGCGGAGGAGCAGAGGCGAAAGGAGGAGGAGGAGAGAAAACGGGCAGAGGAAGAGAGGAAACAAATGGAGGAGGTGAGAGGGATTGGCACTCTAGAGAACTCATCATGCTCTTATTTCAGCGTCGTAAGCTAGGTCATGTCTGAGTCGGGACTCAAGTCACCCCTGACCTAAATCCATGATGTCTAAACCCAGGCTCTCTTTATTTTTTACCGAGAGAAATCCTTCTTCTGACACGTCACACTCCTCAATAGACGGAAAAAAGAGTACATTCGTTTTTGTTTCTGTCATTTTTTTATCTCTTCTGTTTCTCACCAGGAACGCAGGGAGCACTACAGACGATTGTTGCCGCCCGAGCCGGGAGCTGACGTGGCGAGTGAGGAGAGGGCGGTGGTGGCGGTGCGGCTGCCATGTGGCACGGTGTGCAGGCGGGAGTGGCGGAGAGCAGACACGGTGGGAGACATCTACAACTGGGTGCGTGCATGTGTGTGTGTGTGGGATATGTGTGAAAGGGTGAGGAGAGGGCGGTGGTGGCTGTGCGGCTGCCGTGTGGAACGTTTACAACACGGTGGGAGACATCTACATCTGGGTGCGTGTGTGTTGGATAGGTGTGGGAGTGGCGGCGAGCAGACTGGGTGAGAGAGACCGCTATGAGTGATGAGAGGGCGGTGGTGTTGGTGGGGGTTCGGCTGCCATGTGGCACGGTGCGCAGGCGGGAGTGGCGGTGATTGACACAGTGGGAGACGTTTACAACTGGGTGCGTGCATGCATGTACAATTAAGCACTCATGTGTGGTCTCTATACCTAGATTGTTGTCTGTTGAGTGCTTAATACCGTACTTCTGCCGTGAATGTGAGTGAGGGAACTTCACAACAGGGTGCATGCGTGCATGTGCCACGTACCTCCTCTGCAGCCGTCTCCCTAGGGCGGGCGGACTTGCTATAGGCAGGCCGGCACCTTTTGAGACGTCTCAAAAGGCGGACTTGCTATAGGCAGGCCGGCACCGAGGGTATCTCCAACCTCCCCTTTCCCCTTCCGCCCTCCCTCCCTCCCTTCCCCCCCCACCCCCCATGACCGGCTACAGCTCCACACGCTCCCCCAAGAGGGCCTCCTCCCCTTCCCCCTCTCCCGCGCCTCTCTAGCCACCACCTTCCCTCGCCGCCTGCTACCCCTCGCCTCCTCTGCCTCCGTCTCCCTGGAGCAGGCAGACCTGTGCCCGCGAGCAGTGCTGGTGGTGGAAGAGGAGGTTAATGAGAATGAGGGTCAGGGGGTGGGGGAATGAGGGCGAGGGGGCCGGGTAGATAAGGGCGAAGTTGAGATATGGGCCAGGTTCGGAGTTCACATATCGTTTCTATGGGCTTTAACAGTGCCCGAATTTGCGCAGGGGAAGTTGCTCCGCCCCGCCCCATCTGCAGTATGAGTAAGGCACTTACCGAAAATGGCCCATATCTCATTCTAGAGAGCATCGAGGGACCTTGTCGACGGTACTCTATCAGTACTCCATCAGTTTCGGTGCGATTGACCAGCCGCCCAACCCAAGCGCGTAGTACACTCCAACTCTGCACCCCCCCGTCCCCCCCCCCTCCCCCCCCTCCCCCCTTCCCCTGTCGCAATCGCCGTCAGCTGCATCCACTGGCAGATAGCCACGGGCGTGAGGTGTGTTGAGATAATATCGAGACTTCAGCACTTCAAGGAAATTCGTGTAGTACAGTAAAGTACCGATAGGCTGACGTCAGCAAAGCGCTACGCGCCCTAGGATGACGTCAGCACGCAGCTATAGGCCTCGCGAATAGTCACGTACCGTTTCAGAACAGGAATAGCGAGAATAGCATAGTACAATAGGCGAAAATGTACATTACTCTAGCTATATATTCTGTATGCTTGTCATTTTATAATATACCGTATTCTCCCGGACAAAACACCCCCCCGTAATTGTACACCCCCGGGTAGCTTGTGCGGGGTGGGTGTTATGATAGACCTCGTTTCTACTATACCCCCCTTTTTTACTGATTTTCTATAACACCCCCCTTTTCTTACGAATTCGTTATAGTAGTCGTTAACGAGTAGCTGCAATATTGAAGAATATCGCGAAAATTTCTCCCTAGATGAAATTTCCCGGTACATTCACTTACAATCTACCAAGATTTCCCCCCTCGCACTACTTCGCTGAGACCACGTGCAGGCGAATCTTCCGCTGCAAGTGGCAAGAGAGGTGTCACATGGCATTTTCGTGGGGGTGATGAAGCTCGTGGCCGAAACCCACATTCGCGCCTCAGACAGTGATGTTAAAATGAAAATCAAAACACCCACATTGTCTAATTAAATAAACACTAACACTAAAATATACCATATGTAAAGACCCGGGTATTATGTATTTTTTTCCTATGAGGAGACCCCCCCCCATTTTTTCCCTGTATTTGTAGCTATACCCTAGGGTGCTATGTCTGGGAGAATACGGTATCTGATTTCAGAGACATAGATCCTGAAACATATCACTACATGGGCTTTTATTAGTCCAGACAAAGCCTCCTATAACTGGCTTTAACTCATACAAGACTTCCGCTACGACAGGAAGCTACCATCCTAAGTATACGATCCTATTCAGACATTTCAAATTCTAACATGGTATTGCGAGCGTCTTAGGATTCTACAAGCTTCCAACTATATACTCTGCAACTATGTCTGGCTCTCCACGATCCAACAATGGCTCTTCTGTTACGAGCCCATCACGCCCAACAGCGTCTCCAGCTGCTGACAATTCTTATCTGCAGCAACAACATCAACAACAACAATATCAGCAACAACCGATGTACGGCATGCCACTGAGCAATCAGTCCGTACACACAGCCGCAGCAACAGCGGCAACAGCAGCCACAACAGCTGCAGCTGCAGTAACTGGTTCTACTAATCAACCAGGACAACAGTCTAGTTTCGTACCGATTGGACCATATCGATATCAAGGTGCTTACCAGCCAACAAATCTTCAACAGCGTGTCAATGCTGCCGTCTTGTCACTTAACCGGATGTTTCCAACTCCTATGAGTCTTGATGGCTCCAGTTATCAGCATGGACAGATGCCACAAGGGAGCGACGGATCGAACAACTCCTTCTCTTTTGTTCCTGTTGGACAAGGACAACAAGCACCACAAGGGTCGCAGATGCCATCACTTTATCAGTTACAGTCAGCTGACGGCACCGGAAACTATCTTCCTGCTACTGCAAACCCAACAAAGATTAAAACGACAATGCCATTTAACGGTCAAGACTTCTATACCTGGAGTTTCGAATTCGAGCTTCTTGTTCAGACCGCGGGATTCTGGCAATTGTTCGACGGTACAGCACCCTTTCCATCTCACGGCTCACCACTTCAACATGCCACTTTTCGATCGGCGTCGCTGACTGCATACACAGTTCTCTTTCGTAATATGACACCGACTGAACAGCTTGGTATTCGTCCTTTTCGTACCAGTACCGCTCCTGCTGAAGCAGCTTGGTTATACATGCAAGGGGTTTACATGGCAAAGGACACCGTCAACCAGAGTAAAATCTTAACGCAGCTGTCAAATATACAAATGATAAACGGCGAGAAGGTGACGCAGTATATCAACCGCGCTCGAAATCTGCGCGACCAGCTTCAGAAGTGTGGAGGATACTTCCCCGACGCTATGTTTCACACGGTGCTACTCGCGGGTCTTGGACCAGAATGGCGGCAGTGTCAGATTTACATGACATAGCTACTGTAGGCTAGAGTGGGGGTGCTGAGCCTGGGGGTGCTGAGTCTGGGGGTACTACGACTGGGGGTGCTGAGCCTGGGGGTACTACGCCTGGAGGTGCTGAGCCTGGGGGTGCTGCGTCTGGGGGTGCTGAGCCTGGGGGTACTACGCCTGGAGGTGCTGAGCCTGGGGGTGCTACGCCTGGTGGTGCTGTGCCTGGCGGTTCACCGGGTGCTCCCTCTCGCCGAGAGCCACTCTCTCCCCAGGAGCTGCGTGAGTGGTTTGCCCGGCGCTGGAGGCGAGCTGCTGGAGCTGCTGGAGCTGGAGGTGCTGCGGGTACTGGAGGTTCTGTTGCTTCTGAGGGAGCTGGTGCCACGGGTCCCGGAGGTGCTCGTACTGGGAGTTCTGGAGCTGCTGGACCTGCGGGTACTTCTGGAGCTGGAGTTGCTGCGGGTGTTGGCGCGGAGGCTACTGCTGTCGGTCCTGGAGGCAGTCCTGCTGGGGGTACTACTGGTGCTGCTGGGGGTTCTGGAGCTGGAGCTGCTACTGGTGCTGGTGCTGCCCCTGCGGGTGCTGGTGCTGTCCCTCCTGTGTCTGGAGTCGCCGCGCGGCCTCGGCCGTACTTCGTTCCGCTCCTTCAGCAGGTTCTTGGTCTCCCGCCTTCTACTGGTCCTCCTCCTCCCTTAGAGTGTCCACAGCCTGTCCCGTCGCAGTTACAGTTACAGCCGGCCTCCCCACTGCCTGCTCCGTCTCCCTACACTGGTCCTACTGGAGGTCTTGCTGAGCGTCGTGAGCCTGCGTCTCGCCCTGCGTCGCCTGTCCGTGCTGCTCGCACTAGTGGTCGCGGTTCGCGTCAGCGTCCTCCTCCTGTCCCTGGCACGCACCGGATGTCTCTGCGTCCGTCCACTGCTCCTCTGCGTGCCCCTTTGCCTTCTCCTCCTGAGTCTTCTCTTCCTACTCTTGCCGACCCGGAGTCGGACTCTCTTCGCGCTGCCAGTCCTACTGTCACGCGTCTCCTTGCTACGGTTGTCACTGACCCTTCCTTTGAGTCCACTGCTGCGTCTGCTCTAGTTGCTGAGCTCGTCGACTTTGCTGCTCGCTGTCGCCTAGACTACGTCGCCAGTCTTGTTGCTGAGTCTGAGTCTGTCTGTCCTCCGTCCGTCGGGGGTGAGTGTGCCCTTGGCACGGACGTCCTTGAGGACAGGCAGGAGGAGTTCCAGTGCTTGGCCGCTGCTTCACCTCATCTCGTGTCCGTACTGCTTACCCCTGAGGGAGACCCGGATGCACTTGACATCCCGACTCCGCGCTCTTACGCGGAGGCGATAGAGGGTCCCTACTCCTCTCAGTGGCAGGCAGCTATGGACGCAGAGATGGCTTCCTGGAAGTCCACTGGCACCTACGTTGACGCTGTTCCCCCTCCTGGGGCGAACATCGTCAGTGGCATGTGGATTTTCAGGGTGAAGCGACCGCCGGGTTCTCCGCCTGTCTTCAAGGCGCGTTACGTGGCTCGTGGCTTCAGTCAGCGGCAGGGAGTTGACTACTTTCAGACCTTCTCTCCCACCCCGAAGATGACCACTCTTCGGGTACTGCTGCACGTAGCTGCTCACCGTGACTACGAGCTACACTCTCTTGACTTCAGCACTGCTTTCTTGCAGGGCAGCCTGCACGAGGAGATCTGGCTGCGTCGCCCACCTGGCTTCACTGGGTCTTTTCCTCCTGGCACCCAGTGGAGCCTACGGCGGCCAGTCTACGGTCTCCGCCAGGCACCGCGTGAGTGGCACGACACACTGAGGACTACACTTGCGGCTCTTGGGTTTGCTCCCTCTACTGCCGACCCGTCGTTGTTTCTGCGCACCGACACTTCTTTGCCGCCGTTCTACATCCTCGTGTACGTCGACGACTTGGTCTTTGCCACAGCTGACACTGCTGGACTAGCCCACGTGAAGTCCGAGCTGCAGAAGAGACACACGTGCACTGACCTGGATGAACTGCGCAGCTACCTTGGCTTGCAGATCACTCGGGACAGAGCACGCCGCACCATTACCCTGACTCAGTCACACATGGTGCAGCAGGTCCTTCAGCGCTTCGGCTTCACGTACTCCTCGCCTCAGGCCACTCCTCTGCCTACTCGCCACTCGCTCTCAGCTCTGCCTTCGGATGAGTCCGTAGAGTCGAGTGGCCCGTACCCAGAGCTTGTTGGCTGCCTCATGTACCTGATGACCTGCACACGACCTGACCTTGCATACCCTCTTAGCATTCTTGCACGCTATGTTGCTCCTGGGAGACACAGACCGGAGCACATGGCTGCAGCGAAGAGGGTGTTGCGCTACTTGTGCAGTACGTCGGGCATGGGGCTTGTGCTTGGAGGGCAGAGTCCAGTGGTCCTTACTGGGCACGCAGACGCTTCTTGGGCTGACGACCAGGCTACGCAGCGGTCGTCACAGGGTTACACCTTCAGCCTTGGTTCCGGCTCTGTTTCGTGGCGGGCTACTCGCTCGTCTTCTGTTCTCGGCTCCAGTTGTGAGGCTGAGATCTACGCAGGAGCCATGGCTGCACAGGAGCTTCGCTG